ATGAGGATGAAAATGGTTTATGATTACCAAATCATTTGACTGCCTCGTTGGTCTAGTGGTTGTAGTAGTGCAACTACTGATAATGAGGTCCTGGGTTCAAATCCCGGGTCGGGAAAAAATGAATTATTGAGTTTTTCCATCAAGAAATTCTCAGTAATAGTCCGGAGTCAGGAAGTTGGCGTTACCCCCGTGCCTCGAAAAGCACGTAAAGCTGTTGGTTCTGCACCTGATCTCTCTTCGGTCGTGTCGGTTTACCGTCCCATCAATCCGATGGGACGGTAAACCGTATAAGAATGAGGAAATAGAGAGTGCACCTGTGCTTGCGCATACACTTTTGCACTATATTTCTGTCCTGCGCCTATGGCTAGTCTCCGTTGAGGCAGCCCGCCGTGACCAAAATTCGATCTGGAGGACATTATTTCATTGTTGTTACCAATCGTCATGTCGCCTCCGTGGACGTTCTCGAGCTATCTAACCGTTGTCCGAGTGGCGGAGTGCGAATTCCCACCTCTGACTGCCTAACTCGTGTCAGTCATTGTCAGACATTGACGACGACGACGACGTAACCTGTATGACCTTCAGCGAATACCGTTTGGTGAGCTCAGCTCCAGTATTTTCTCGTCAGTGCTTAGGGTGCGTGCGTTGTTCAGGTCGTCGTCATCTTAGGTGGCAACCGAACTTCCACCGGAGATTTTTAGCACCCCCTGCCCCGCCGTTACCATGGTCGCCACCGTAGCCAGGATTAGTGGGGCCGTCGGGGACTGGGGGCCGTCTCATCGTAACTCTCATCTTGGGGGGTATATTTCCATAGCTGCAATGCTTGTCGAGCGGATTGGCAACCGCAGTTTTTTTATGTTGTACAATTGCTGTTATCAGGAAGATGATGCTGCTCATCTCCAGTTTGTTTCTCTCTGTCGCCTTTTGCGACACTCACGGGAAGATATGTGGTAGTGGATATTTTTAACCGCCACTACACTTTGTGTTCTTACTCTAAGACAATTGTAATTATTGCGCAAAACAAAATCTTAATATATATAAATTACGTGTCACGTTGTTTGTCCGCGATGGACTCCTAAACTACGTAACCGATTTTAATCAAATTTGCACACCTTGTGCAGTTTGGTCCAACTTGAGAGATAGGATAGTTTTTTTGCTCATGAGTGACCCACAGTTTTTTTTAGCGAATTTAAGGATTTTAATAGGACATGACAAAGGGTCGCCGAAAAGGGCAGAACAATGTTTGCCTGGCAAGCTAGTCATTTTATAAAAATTGAGCATACGGACTAGTGTGAAGAAACTATGAAGAAACACGAGTCATATTGACTGGATAGAAAAATATATAAAAATGACACTAATTCGCTTATTAAACGATTACCTACCTTGTAAATATTTCATATTGGAACCGCTTATATCCATAGAGCAACACTGGTTACCGGCGAGCCTGAGCGCACATTTTACAAATTTATATTTAAAAAATCGAACTGTTAAAACGCTTGACCCGTTTTAGTAGGTGCTTATACCATCGACTTATTTATTCGACTCGAGTTGCGAGGTAACATTTTCAAACTTATTCACTGTACGATCTTTTATCCACCTTATTTTAAAGCGACTTATCGTGTTTTTATGACAATGTGGTACGATCCATCAATTCCTTAGGTTTTTGAAAAGATACCGGGACCAGTACATATCTGAATTTAGTTTTAGATCCGCCGAGAATAAAAATTGGGAGTTCTAGTTATTAACTGGTTGGCTTGGCGAATGATACTCCTTTATAGAGCTTGTGGGGCTCAGGCCTGCTAACGTCTTTTCAGTTAAATGCAGTTGGTTTGGTTATTATGTCGTCTGTGATGGTTATAAAATGAGACAGTTGTCTTTTTGATCTGTAGTCTATGTGACAATTTCAGTGAAGCTTAAAACGACCCATTTACCTTGGGTAAAATTGCATTGTGTAGGTTTGGACAGCTGTCATACGATTGAATGTAGATTTTATTAGATTAGTTTTTGCGTTTAACATAAGGTCTTAATCTTTACATCATTCTTCATGATATGGAGTGTCGCTTAAGGTATAGGTAGTAGAGTTTTTTCTGATCAGTATTATGGCGGCCAGTAGGTATGATCTATCGATATGTTCATGTCTGAGCCGGAAGGGCAGGTTGGATGAACCTTCCTACTATTATGCACGAGATCTGGTGGCTTGTACTTGTACAATTTAGTTATTTAAAATATCTTCGAAATTTCTTTGCCTGCTCTTCTCCTTTTCTTCTATTAAAAAAAACGAGACCTCACACTAGAATTTTCTCTTGTATCGTGGTGGCAGTTTACAAACATACAAATATGTGTTCCGTGCGGGATTCGTATACGCAGCCCCAATGCCAAGCTACTACGTCATGAAGCCGTCGAATACATAAAGTAATACATGAATAATTTACATTTGTGAGGGTGAGAGAATGTTATTATTTTCTCTTATTTTTTCTTACATCAAAGTAATCTTGATAAAAAATTGTAGTTTCTGACTATTGCGCCATATTTGGCAAAGACTCCAGAAACCACCACGAGTTTGCTTAGTACGATGCAGAAGTACCCTATGTCAGAAGCGACCAGGATATCGTGTCCCACACGTTACTGGTATGTCTGACGTAGCAACGGAGGTGGACGATCGTCGTTAGCCGTATTAAACTATACTTTAATTCGACCCTGACGCTGTGAAGAGCTCAGTATGCGAGACCATAATAGTTTAAAGGTTCCGCAAAGTCGCTTGCTGCCGATATACAGAATATCGAAATGTATTATCTGGCGCTGTCTGTCGTATGAGAAAGTCTCCAATTCAAAATGCAATAGTTCCCCAGAATTACCAAATTTATTGCCTATTCAGTAAAGTAATGATAGCAATCCTAATGCATAAAGAAGTGCGGATAGATGGCGTAATACTATCAAAAATCTGATCTACTTCTCTATGTTGACGTGAGACTATATACCGGTGGTGGTTAAAAATGCAATATCGAAAATGGAACAAGGTAGACAGTGTTGGAGAAGTTCAAAGACGCTCGCAGAACTTCATTACATGGTCATCCACCATCGATAATATTTACAGTAGGTACTTTCTATCTTACTTCCCGGCAGTGACAACGCATCTATAGCCTTCTTTTCTTTATTTGATTATAGGTGCCAAGAACTGCAGCAGCCACCTACACCAAAACTGTAAACTCTTGTTTTACACAGTGTGCCAAAGAAACTTATTTGAAAGCACCGAGCGGTGAGTTGGGTGGGTAGAGGGGAGAGAGGGGGATCATCTGGAGTGGGAAGTCCTCAAGTTTGTTTCCCCTCTTATCAGTTGCCATCATGATCTGGTCTAGATAGCAGCGAGCGTTCGCCATCGAGAGCTTCTTTCTAACGGTCGCTCACATGTTGCTACGCAACGTGCCTTCCGCACTCGTTTTGAAATTTCTCCTCACAGACTCGTTCCTGGCCGTAATTCGATTCTGTCGTGGGTTCCCTCATTTCAGGAGTGTGGAAGTGTCGCTAAACCCAGAAATGGACATCAACCGACCACCAGAACTTTGGAAAATGTCGAAAGAGTGAAGCAGTCAATTCTGCGTTCTCTCCGGCGTTCGGCTCACAAACATGTAGCTGCTCTGGGAATTTTTGACACCACTGTTCGATGAAGTCTCCATGAAGACCTACAATTTCATCCTTATAAATTGGCTGTTCTGCAAGAATTAACTGAACGGGATTTTGTTGCCCGTCAAAATGCATGTGAAGTGCTGCTTGAACTCCCTCAAGACGCGGTTCGATTTTTTCAGTAACGAGGCTTCTTTTCACATTTTCGGCTGCGTCAACAAACAAAACATGCGTTATGGGAATGGTGAAAATCCGAATGAACTTCACCAAAAGCTACTTCATTGTGAACGAGCTACTGTCTGGTGTGCGACATCGGTAATGGGAATAATTGTTCTTTATTTTTTTGAAGAAAAACGAACGCGCAGTTACCGTGAACGCAGCTCTTTACAGGAACATGATCAAGGAATTTTTTCTTCCAAGCCTCGAAGAAATGAACGTTGGGGACGTATGGTTTCAGCAAGATGGAGCCACAGCACACACAGCACGAGGCCCAATGGATTTGTTGCGATGACATTTCCCCGAACGCCTCATCTCTCTCAGAGGTGATCTCCCATGGGCTCTCCAGATTTGGCTCCAAGCGATTTTTATTTATGGGGTTATTTGAAATCCCTGGTTTAGGTCGATCGCCCACGGACCATAGCTCACCTAAAGAACATTCCCGACGCCATTGCCAACATACCGATTGATATGCTGCGAAGAGTGGGGACGATCGAATAGGGGTCACCCTTTAACCGATGTCATTTTTAACACTGTATGAAAATAAACTTGGGATATTTTATTCTCAAACAGAAAAAGAATTAAAACAATAACTGAAGTACTTTTCTTTTTATTGACCTTTCGAATAAGTAAGTTTCTCTGGCGCACCTTTTATGGTTGTAAAATGTCTACAGTGAAACCAAAATAAATGACATTGCTTAAAGGGTAAGTAAGATAAGATAGTGTCAACTCCATACCCTTCGGAAAAGTTATAGTAAAAGCGAGCATGAATATTTACAATAGATATAAACGCATGGATTATTTTATCTAACTGTATTTTTACTTTGTGTAAATTCGACGCTTTTACTGTATTATGTTTTGTTATTTTGCGTTCATAGAAAATATTAAAAGTATATTATTAGTTATTTATATTAATAATATCGTCTACTTAATGATTTCTTATATTTACGCGAACACTACACATTGATTAAAACTACTTTAGTTTTAATCAAATATCGTCTACTATTTTCAAAAAATATTTTAGGGTAAATTAATTAGAAGACTACGTACTGACCACTGAGAGATCGTGAATATTATTGCATTATGTAACATGGTCAATTTATAAATAGAAAAAGATTTTGGAAAATATATCGGAGTATTTTTGTTAAAAAAATATATATTTTCAGGCTGTAGAACCCTTACTTCAGACATTACAAAATTTAAATAACAAAGTTATGAAGAAACCAACAATATACTTAACCCAAGAACTAAGAGACACCGAAGTTCAGAGAAAACTGTGGAGTGAATTTTATGAAAAGCTAACCGAGATGTTCTATGTTGAAAAAATTCCAGAAGACGAACAGCATATCAATTACAGAAGCCCCGATATAGTATTATTGAAAATAAATAAAAAATAATAATTCACATATTTGTAGTATGTAACACCAGAATACATATTATATAATTTAGTTTTAATGCTAATGTTGTTGAGACTGTTGAAGCACTTCTTGTTCTTTTCGTTCATGGGATTCTTTTTTTAATCATCATGAATTGACAAACGAGCTTGCAGTCCACCTGGTGGTAAGAAGCCACTGCAAACCATGGGCAACTGCAGCCGATACTAAATAACTACGCTATCAGGCTCCTAGCAGGGCTACAAGAACTAATATAAAATGCCATGTAAACCCGTAAACTAACTTTAAAAAATATATGAAATCAATAGATACCTAGTGTTGATATGTTAGGCAATAATGTATGGCCAATATACACTTTGCCATGTAAACCTGTGAACTAACTTAAAAAAATATTTATATGAAACCAATACCTATGGTTTATTAAAGATAGCTTGATCTCTGCGACAGCTGTCAGGAAAATCACGCCTACGAAGTCCTGAATTTCTTAGTAGTACAGACAGTACCTGTCAATGTCATACTTTATGGGCATGCCGACCTATAGGTCGGCATGCCCATAGAAGTAAGAATTTCAGGACTTCATAGGCGTGATTTTACTGACAGCTGTCGCAGAGATCAAGCTATCTTTTATGAACTATAGTGCTGATACGGTAGGCAATAATGTATGGCCAATTTACACTTTGCCATGTAAACCCGTGAACTAACTTTAAAAAAAATATTTATATGAAATTAATACCTATATAGTGCTGATACGTTAGGCAATAATGTATGGCCAATTTACACTTTATTATTTGTGACGAGTCGGCAACGCAGTGGAAAGCGTTTGTTTGCGACTCAAGAGACTATTCTTTTTTTATCGTTAATTAAAATGTGAAGAGTGATTGAAGAAGTGATCTTATGAATGTTAAAATCTACTCTAGGTTTCCAATGTTAGATCGATAAATATAGAAACTCTGTCCGAGATCATTGCTTTACTGTTTTTTTATCATAAGGATTATTTATTAAGATAATTACATTTTATTGATTGAATGGAATCGTGTAATTTTGTTACAGTTTACTACACTAGTGATTCGCTGGTAACTTTAGGACTCGCTAAGGTTTAGTTAGTTTTTGTTTAGTAATACTTATTATTATCCTGAATTTTAATTTAAAAAAATGTTTTTTGTTTTATGCCCTTTTTATCGCTGCAAGTAGTTTTTGAAATATTATTTGATAATTTCAATTTTGACGAAATTCATAACATACAGATATATACAAAATACATAACATAAGATACGAAAGAGTTACTACGTTGATTTCTTTTTCATATTCGGTTGTTGGATGGACGACGTCGAATTATCCAATTACTATTGCGGTTTTGCTAGCACTTAATAAGAGCTACTATACCTATATTACAAACACACCCAGATGCGTTCTTCATTTTACTTACAGAATGTCAGTAAAATCAGATTAGATATAAATTTCTAATATCAAATATATCTAATGTCTTTCCAACAGAAATCTATTGACATTAAAACAGTTTCTGTTCTTTCGTAGAATAAATTTTACATCTACCGCCTTTTTTGAATAGGGTACGAAATGCGATATAAATACTGAATGGAAACCGATCGTTTTTTCTTGTTTTTCTAAGCGAACGCCAGGAATTCTGTGCAAAAAAACATTGCGTCGCAGTGGCAGCGTTTAGATTTGTATTAAATGTGTGCATTCGGGTGCCCGAACACGGATAAACGTGATCTGAAATGTAAACTGAAATATAATGAGGAAACCTGATCATTTTTCATTGCTGCCGGGCGAAAGTTGAGTAACGGTTTGAAGTGGACTGAGGAACTTACAGTAAATTTCGTATTGATTAAAGTACAAGTGGCTATGCAACCTAAATTGCGTTGAGTATAATAATAAGAAGTTACGAAATGCAGCTCGTTTAAATTGAGTTTAAGTATGGATATCGATAGACTGGGTTCAGTGCAATAATAATATATGGTTTGGCACAGAATTGATAATGGTACTGGCTTTGGTTCTAAAGAAGTTTTTATAATTAAACACGATTTAAATTAAGCTTTTTTGTATTTCAAATAATAACTCATGTTTAATTTCCGACCCGATTGTGTCATTTTTGTATTGCTACTTACTTGCTGCTTACTTTAAACATAAATTAGCTGATGTGTAATTGTTTGTTAAACTGATCTTGCATGAATTTAATATACATAAATTAAATTTCAATATTAAATATATGTTTTAATAATAACATCGTTCTGTTGTACTATTTCAAGATCAGGTAGAAAATAAAAGGGTTGATTCCAAACTATTACACTTTCTACAATACTATTTTCGAGTCCAAGTAGAAAACAAAACGGTAGATTCAATCTATTACACTTTGGTTCACTTTACAATTTAAACTTATACACAATTCAACTTAACTACACGTCTTACTGCGATGACTCGAGTTGAGCTAATGCCACTGTCCATTTACTCAACCTAATCTTAAACTTAATCAACCTTTCGTACTCGTTAGCAGGGTGGGGCGGCATCATTTCCGTCCCACTCTTTTACAGAAATCAAAACATTATTCTTCCGGTTTAATTATATTATTCTATCTATTATCCGTAATCGTTAATGTTAACAACTAATAGTATTTATAATATAAAGTTAAATCGAGTAATTCTGTTATAAACAATAATATAATAGTTATTAATCTAACATTAATCAAACAATAATAGTTACGCAGTAATAGTAACCTAACAGTTCTGAGATGTTAACATAATATTACAATTATCAATATTAAAAAATACTCATGCTTCAACTTCAACAAAAATCACGTCATTTTTTGCACAGTGCAACAATTATACATTAGTGTCAAATTTCAATGTTAAAAGTTACCTGTTGTTATTTCTGCGTATCTTAAAATAGGTACATAAAATTTATTTATGTATAAATACTTCGCACCTCTATTAAAAATATTTTATAAATATTTTTAATTATTTTTGCTATACTATATTTACCTCATAGAATTATAATTTATAACGCACAGATAGTTTACGCACATATTAAATAATAGTATTTCGTAGTATAGGACTATAGGATCAAACGTACAGCTTGTTGATATTAGGTAATGCTCATGTCAATGTCAATGTCTTTGATCATAGGTAATGCTAAAAGCATTTTTACTTACCTACTCGATTTTGACAGTCAAAAATTTTAATTCAAAATCAATTATTTTGCGCGTAAGCGGTTTGTAAATACATGTACATACAATGTCTTTTTTAAATTTAATGATGCATTACTGTGCTTGCGATTATTTCGTTTCTTGTATTATAAGTATTACAATAAATTGATTTTTTTCCATTATTATTAATGTTTTAATCTATTATTATTAATGTTTATTACTGAAATGCAGGGTATGAGTACCTAGATAATATAAGAAGCAATATATATTTATAAAATGAAATGTTATTTTTGAAATGGACTGTAATAAATAAATTATGTACATGCACACTGGAATATAAATTTTATATGTTGTCAGTATATACCTACTCTATTTTGTTTTATTTATGTAAAGCAACTGATGTAACTTACCTTAAATTAGATTATTGTTATTAGATTGTTTTTAGAAAACACATTGAATGCATTTAATATGTTTAAAAGATTATAATTAGAGATGGGCCGAATATTCCTGTAATATTCGGTATTCGGCATATTCGGCAGCTTTACCGAATATTCGTAATCGGACGAATATTCGGTTAAATCACCGAACATTCGTTAAAGTGGTACTCAAAGTGTCCACTGTATTGAAATGTACGAGTTGAGTAAAGCCATGACTTTCATAATTTTACTGTTGAAAGTATATTTTATTTATAGGTTAAATCTACTTGTATAGCGTTATCTTTTTGAGGCACTGTAGATTTATTTCCAATTAAAGCAACTATAAACCTTGATAAATGTTTTTGGAATCAAACAAAGAAACATTACATTACATAATTTAGTGCATTTCACTTTACTTTGGTCGTCAGTTTCGCTAAAATAAGTCCAAATAGTAGATCTCTTGTCACTCGTTTTTCTCATACAATTATCAAATTTCACTTAGAATAACACAACGAAATACTGTTTTTCTCACAAAAATAGTCAAAACATAAGCATATGCCGGTAATTTGCTTAGTACTAGATGATGAGCGAGGGGCAGGGTCCGGCGCTAATCCCGCGCGCTTTAAGGTAACAAGTTTCGACATAAATTGGTTAGGTACCGAGGTGATCCTGCCGAATAATGTTCAGCCGAATATTCTGTCCGGTAAAAGTTTTACCGGACTTTCGTTCCAATATTCGTATTCAGTGAAATCCTTATTCGGCCCATCTCTAATTATAATGTAATAATCAAACGATAAAATATAAGTTAGTAACTACCAAAGGGACACGTAAGAATAGTCAGAAGAGTTTATACAAAGTTGTGAAATGTTAAAATATTAATCTGATAATCGGTCAGTTTCAATATTTACTTCTTGACTGTAGTTATAAAATATAATAAAAACTTTAATTTCTATTTTGTTTTCTTCTATCATTTATACCAAATATCAAATAGGAACTATGAAAATGCACTTGAATATTTAACATTATTTATATTAAACACCTAAGCAAAATGTTTGAATTGCCTGTCATCGACACAAAGCTTCGAAAAAAATGTTTTCCCCAGACGTGCGACTCTTCTTGAACCCTATTATGTATTTCTTCCGCCAATTTGCGTGACGTTGTTCGACTAGATTTTGTATTGGTTATGTAAGGTCGGGGAAAAAGTTTCTTCGTATTTTATATACAAATTCAGGATTTTTTTTTTCAAAGTATGATTACATTTGATTATATGTATAAGTATATGTGCCATTTTGTTCGATAACTTGTGGCTATCTTGTAGGTAATGACATAATCCCGTTGCTGTAGAAATCTTGGGATTTTTGATAAAAAAATGCGACGAGTAGTTTTGACAATCGTCTCTTGATGTTAATCTAACGCTACCCAAAAAT